AGCAGGAATAACAGGGGTAAGTATTAATTTAGGTGACTATGATACTCTAGAGTTAAACAGTATGAGGGAGTCATAGTTCTCTTGGTGTCTCTATAAACTGCACAGAGGTCAGGCGATCACAGAAATCACTGTCCTGTCATGTAGGTGCCGCACTTCAGATGGGCGTCGGAGTCTGTGGGTTTGTCCAGAACATCAACAGGCGGATTGTCTTCCTTTGTGCTGAGACTCCTCTTCTGGATCAGTCATGCTGAGGGCTGATTTCATCCTCATCCTCCTCAGGTACAGAATTTTCCCTCTTACCTACACAAACACACACAGTGTGGCTCAACTTTTACAATACTGAATTTAAAAACTTAAAAACTGAACTTAAAAAAAACAAACAAACAGTAATTGTGACATGCAAAGGTTTGGGCACCCCACTGTGTCAGCACTTGGTGCCCAGGATGCTCATGTGTCTTGATCTATACACAGTCAAAAGTCTGGGCCCATTCAGTTCAGTCTGTGTCCAAACCTTTGACTGGCAGTGTAGTTCATGGTGGATCTCGAGGTCTGTTTTGGATCAAGTTTTGGAAACAGTATATTTACAAATCCAGTCATGAAAACCACATAGTACAGGCAGGACTTTTACAAAAAACAAAGGAAGCAGCTGCAGGCTGAACACACAAAGTCCCTGGAATAAATCCTCCTGCTTCTAACTGCACGTTGGACACGGCATTAACAGGAAATACCTGCTAAAGCCTTAGAGAAGAGCAGGAGACAGACAGAAGAAACCCTTCTCTGTACAGAAAGACAGAACGTAACACCTTTAAAAAGTACTGATGCACAACATGGTTATAGGTCCTAAAGTGCTGTTTTGGTACGTCCCATTTGTTTCTTTCATTCGGACCTTTTTTGCTGCAGAACATCCCGTCTGTGGACATTTTGCCTCTCGGGGCCACACGGTCAAAACGCTGGGACACATCTTGCAGAAACCACACACTTACTGGCCAAAATGCTGAGACATTTCAGGTGCTAATGCAGTGACAGAGGCTGCTGATCTCCAAACACCGGAGTCACACAGATGTGAGGAAGGCGAACGTGCACTGCCATGTGTTGCTGCATACATGGTGCACACAGAAACACAACCCAAACATTTTGTACTCTTCACATATGGTTTACACGTGAAATTTGATGTGACGTGCATAGATGTGACTTTTACTATTCACTCAACCTTTAAATGTTTGAGAGACCACTGTCAGTAAAAAATATGCTGCCTAAACACGTGAACACCACCCTGAACATGAAGCAAATTCCAAAATAGTACCAAATGTTAATGTTTGAGCATAAAAACAAGGGGCTTGAAACTGACCTTTTCATTGAAATATTTTAGTTTATCAGTGTAGCTTGTATTGTTTATATATTAGTAGGTCAGTCATTCACAACATGGTCAGAGCTTAATGGTGCACACATGGGATGACTTCGACAGCTGTCATTCCAGAAGCAGAATCTAGATTTATAGCTGAAGCCTGATAATAAAAAGATGCCCAGATTGGTCTGATGCTCTGAGTTTCTCCCCCCTCCATGCTTCTATATGCCACCATTACACATTACTAACTGTGTGTCTCCTCTCTCCCGTAGTGTGTCCTCTCTCTCTCTCCCTGTACCTTTCTACAGGTTGCCCTGGCCCTGGAGCTCTACGTCTCTGACAAGCAGTCACCAGCCACATCGACCTGATCAGTGTTTGATTGTTGTGTCTTGTTGCTTTTCTTCTTTTGTCTCTCCTCTATCCACTCACCCCAACCGGTCGAGGCAGAAGGCCGCCCACCAAGAGCCGGGGTCTGTCGGAGGTTTCTTCCGTTAAAGGGAGTTTTTCCTCCCCACTGTCGCCAAGTGCTTGCTCAAGGAGGATTTGTTGGGTTTTCCCTATGTAATAACATTGATAACAGTAATGTCTAGACCTTACTTTGTAAAGTGTCCTGAGATGACTTTTGTTGTGATTTGGCGCTATACAAATAAAATTTGATTTGATTTGATTTGATTGGTCCTGAACAAAATGTCCATCCTGTCCTTAGTTGTCAGCTTGTTGTCATCTGAGCCGAGGACCACCCAGCTCGCCTGTGCCTCAAATCTAGATCCAGACAAACTGTCACTAAAGAATAAGAAATACTCAGACATTCAGGGAATGTTTCATTATAATGCATTTTATTCACAGCCATTTCTACGCAGGCAAAACATCACCTACAGGGTTTTCAATCTGGACTGATTTGGTACATTTAACTAAAATCTTTTGCGTCGGAATGTGTGCATGAAAAAGAGCGAGAGCTGCTGCACAAACCAGAACATACAGCGTTTATGTGTAGCATGAGTGAAGCAAAGTGCTAATGGCGTCAGATGAACAGCAGCGAGGAAGACAAGGGAAGAGTTGGTTATAGGGAGATGAAAGGAGAAAAGGTGGCTATCGGGAGACGGAGTCAGGACTGGGCGCATCCTTTTTGTGGTCACATGACAAATCTGAGGAAAAAGAGGGGGTGCATAACAGAAAATTGAAAGACAGAGAGACAGAGGAGTTAGTGCTGTTAGTAGACTTTTCCCCAGAGATTTACAGAACATTTTTATTTTGGAAATAAAAACAGAGTGAGTTATTAGTAACAGACTGAGTGGACAGTATGAACAAACTGTAGATGTCAAATTTTAATGGCTACGTTTTAGTTGAATGCACAACAACACTTTAATCATGCCCAACCTTAAAGGTCTGTTTGTCAGGATTTTTTTTTTCAGCTAGAGGACAGAAAAACATGACAACAAGCTGAGAGATTAACTGAGAGATTATGGCTTATGAATTAACAAAACACCATTCTATTTAGCCTACACCCACAACAGATGTTTCACATTAGGTGGATGAATTTAAGTCCACTACTCACTCTCCTGTTTGTTTAATGTCAAATGTTTGTGTTTCCTGTTTTGCACTGGGCAGGTTGTATACAGTGAGTTCATCAGGGCTCATTTACTGAAAACAGCTGATAAACAGCCTAAATTATCACTGTAGTGTGTGTGTGTGTGTGTGTGTGTGTGTGTAAGGCCGGCAGTATACTCTGTGCTCACGGCCAAACAGTATACTGCGTGGTGACTGGAGGGACAACACTGAAATGTTTGTGTTCAGCCATTCACTGACAAACACTAGCAGTGTTATTACTGATTGTTTGCTGTGCAGTTTGTTCTTCCTCCCGTTTAGCTCCAATTTTGTTTCTGTTTTTTGAGGAATCTTGTCCCAAAGGTTCTCCTACCTGGGGTGGACGGTGTTAAACAAATTACCTTCAAGTCACAATAAGGCCTATTTCACACTATACACAGGCTACACAAATGCAGCTGTGAACACAAGGGTGGCAGATATTGTTAGCGCACAGAAAAGGTGCAGCTGTCACTGTCCTGTGTCTTGGCTGATGCAATACACTGCTCATCCAACAGGGGGCAAAGGTCACCGGCCCTAGTCAGGTCAGGTGATTTGTTTGGTACAAATGAAAATGGCTACAGCAGAGGAGTGCATCACTTTGCTGCTGCTAAATCACTGAAGGCAAAAGAAAAAAGGGGCTGAAGATGGTATATTGTCTATTCCCAACTGCCTGCTGCCATTTTGCAGTTTGACACAGGAAACAGCTTCTCTAAACAAAGACAGTGACAGCAAAGTATTTGCATTATGAATGAAATAAACTTTGGATGACACATTTTGATACAAAAGTATGTGTCCAACCCTCCTTGTGTAGCTTCAAAGAGTATGAAAGATCTTCCGTCATAACACTACTGTAACCTCTACAAAGTTTTGAGAATTACCTCTCGCCCAGTGTCTGGAGAATACTGCCGGCCAAAGTTTTGCTGTCTGAAAAAGCATTTACCCCCTGAACTGCTTTCTGCCACTCCTCTCTCCTGACTGGCTAACTGCAGACTCGCCTCATTCCCATTGGCTTCCTCTGGCCCATTGTGATTGGCCCACAGAGAAGCGGCAGCATAGAGCTGTGCTGTGATTGGACTCAGCTGGCCATCGTCCTCGCTAAGTCCCGCCCCTAGTAGGTGTTGCTCCACCCCCAGCTGAAGCTCTGAGGAGAGAAGAGCTTGGACTACAGACATGTGGCTACGGGGTGGGTTTCCATCCAGCAGTTTTTGTTTATTGATTTATTTATTCATTTTTTTGTGCCTGAGTAGAGACTGGAGAAATTAATCACACAAAAGTTTCTACATTTGATTGACGTGGAAAAGTTGCTGTATCACTAAAAGCAAAATGCAACAAAGAAATTAATCATGACGTACACTAACATTCTACCAATGAGTGCATGAATCACACAGAAATCATTTTTTCACTGGTTAAAATATGGACACAGTTCTGAAAATACACCTTGTTTTTTGCACCTGGCTGGAAAATCAGCAGCGCCATTTTTTATCCCAGTGAACAGTTCATACAGTTTACCAAACAGTGCTGGAAGAAAATGTGTTTCTTTGCCTTTTCTTTTGCTGATGCACTTGAAATGTATTTAAAACTTGAACTACATTTGGATGGAAACCCCCTTACAGAGTGGGTAAATCCCAAAATAACAAAGCTAACATTAATGCAAAAATTATAATTATAACAAAAATTTAAAAATTTAGAAAAGAAAACAAAAAATCCAAGTGAAGATTAGCAAAACAGTTCAGTCGGCCTGATGTCGAAGAAGTTTGTCTCATTTGTAGATGTTTAGCTGGATCAAGTGTCAGATATCCCCAGTTATCCTTTAATGACCCCCCCAAACAGTAAAATGGACCCAAAGAAAAAAGGCCCACAGTTCTAGTGTAAGTTTTTAAGGTGGAATTTTCCTACTATAAGCCTATAAACTCCAACTAATTCCTCCTGATCGTGTTATGTTCAGTTTGATTTGTAGATGTTTGTCAAAACTCTGCATCATTAACCAGTAGAAATAGAAATATTGACAGAAGTACTACCAAATTCTGGTTCAATAAAAAATTAAATGTGTCCAAACAAACAAAAACAAAAATGTATAGATTATAAAATGTTCTAAAACCACATCAAATTAATGAATATAACTTTCTGATCGTACAGAATCTAAATGTGTGCTTGGTGCTTCGCCCGTGGGCTATTAGCTGCACACACTCAGATGAGATCAATATAAGAAAAGCTTTTACTGTCTCCATTTCTCGGAACCAGCTCAGCGCTGCACTCACTGGTTCAGGGCTCTGTGTGCACTGACATGCACTGTTTTTTCCCCCTTTGTGGTCTTTTCTTGCATCCTCATTAAAACAGCTGCCAGTGTTTCATATGTTTTTTAGCTCAAATTAGAAAATGAGAAGCGCTCTGTGTAGTCGGCCTCTCTAAGCTGTTGTGCTGAGCAGAAAGCTGCTTCTCTCGGCCCACTGACAGATGTATAAATTATTCAGCACCAGCTATGATAACGAAATAACAACAACGTCTTTTAGTGATAAAAGCCATTAGACAGGTGCTCTTTGCTTGTGCCGTTGATGAAAGCAGTGTTGACAGCTTGTTCCAAATTAAGAAGTTATTGGCTGCTAAGGTTTCATAACATGGGGCTGTGTATGAAGACTGCTTCTGTTGCATCTTTGTGGCTGTTCCAGTTGTTGGGTTGTGCAGCTTAAAGCACCAGTCAGAAACTATTTTTTGTGTTTTTTTTTGACTTGGACAAACTGTGCTACTTTAGTAACTGTGAATAAATGTGTTTGTCAGTGTCTCACTACTTTAAAACGCCCACAGGGCCGAGCCCAGATCCCCCACAGCCCCAGGTTCACCCCATATAATTACATAATTAGTGAATTAGGCAGAAATGTGCACCATTGTATGTCCTGTGTCATGCAGAGAGAGCGTAACACTCAAACTAACTGAACTACTTGGTTTTGGTCTTTGGTTCTTCAAAAGGAAAAATACACAATATCACCGGCTTTATACAACTAAACTAAAAGTTAAATGTACTATTATTTGACCAGATTTTTGGGAAATTATGTGGCCATTGACTGTAACAGATATGCATTTTGAATATACGTTGTGTACAACAGTAACAAAATATCCAAATACTTGATTTCAGTTGATTTGTAGTGCCACGACACTACATTTCAGGTTTTTTTTTAGACACGACACAGACACTGCTCTGTTCCAGAGTTTGAGACACAACCCACCATCCTGCCAGCTGGGCCTGCAGCTCTTAGACTGAAAAACACAACTAAATGCAAAAGAACATCCAGCAAGGAAACCAAGACTAAAGCAAAAGTGCAGGTGCAACCAGGCCAGATAACACAAAGAGAGACAAACGGCATGAAACAAAACAAACCGAAGAATTCTTAAGTCAAACATATAGAAACCACGAAACTGAGGAGCGGAGGGAAGGAATGTGCATATACACAGCTGCAACAACATGAGCGGTGACAGACCTCACAGTACATATCAGCAGAACATCCTTCTGAAATATTATAAATACAGCAGCATACTTTCACATACATCCGGAATGCATTTATAGAAACTGATGCATCTGTGCAGAGGGCATTAGTTTGTTCAGAAAACTTTGCTCACAGCCTTATTTTCATGTGAGAACATTTATTTGATATGTAGCTGATTAAATCAGGTTTTCTAACAACGTGCTGATTGTTGGCCTGGTCACGCCTTAAATCGACTTTGACGGCTCCTAATTTCTGAAGGACAAAAGTCGTGTCTGTTGCTAATAATCCTGAATTAAGAGGTCTTTAGCGTGAAAGACGTGCAGTGAATACCAAAAGACACAGTGGATGCTTTCTTTTCTCTTCCCAAGCCTTTTCACTGGCGGTAACAGGCACAAATGAAGCTTAGCAAAGTAAAAACCCAGATTTTCCTTCAGCAGTGCCATATGTTTTTAGTTTTGGTGTTTGAAACATGTTTATGATGTAATTCACTGCCAACATTCTTCTCTCTGCTTTTCCCTTTTCCCCATTTTTCCAGTTTTAGAGTAATTTTATTGGTGATAGCTAAAAACAAACGTGTTTGTTGTAGCAATAAATTGCACTAAGTAAATCTACGGCATTGTCCTTTCCTGTAATGGATTTCTTCCACTTTCCTTGCACAGAGCATCATTTATAAATATTAAGACATTATGTACATATTGAAAATCACAGGTGAGTGTTACCTTTCATGGTGGGCGGGGCGTAGGTGCTCTGCTTCCTCTGAGCGGAATCTGAAGCCTGCAGAACACAGAAACATTCTCTAACTTATTGTGACTTTATTCAGTCGCACAACTGGAACAGTGAGGCCCAAGCTGTAGTAACACTAAACTGGCATCACTGAAACAAGAAGACGCTGATTAAAACATATTCTAAACCAAGCAACGTACTTATACACATTATGTAAAAGCAATGGAAGTTCTGCCGCTAATGATTAAAAATGAAATGTCCACCAAAGACACACCGTTCTGTCCTTCGTAATCACATTATAGTGAAACAACATTGACTCCACTAGCCAGCTGTCTTTTGTCTGGCAGATCGTCTGTGCAGTGGCTGTTTGCTGGGAACATCTAATGTCAGTTTGTGAAATACTAAGAAATACTGAGGCACTGCAGTGAAGAATATTTTGATCTGATTTTAACTGTCTGATCACTTTATGGCAGCAAGTACTTAAAAGATCTGAGCAATGAATCAGTTGTCAAAAGTCAAATATCCTCAGGAGTGAATATAAATCACAGGTTATGGCACAGCATTCGGTGAGTTTGTCTTTAAATTAAATGAGTGTAGGGCTAGAGGTTTCTACAGAGGTTCTTCAGTATATATTGAAGGTTTACCCCTGACGCTGTCTAGTGTTGTACCGGCTGTACTGCCTGCATGTATATGTGTTTACAACCTTTTGTACAAACCTGAGACTCCCCACTGGTGTTGTGTTGATCTCCAGCATCTGCAGGGGAGATGAGACAGCTGCAGTCAGCTCTTTATCTTTAAAACTGATTTGTTGCTTCCTTGTTTTTTTAAGTTGGTCTATTTCTGACACATCGTTCTTTCTAAATCTGCACAACAGATGTTTTAATCCCCAGATGTGAGAGCTTGGGGATCCGGATCTGTTGTCCATAGGTCACATTGTGCTATTACTCCTCTGTGGTCTGAACCCGCTCTGTGATCAGGTCAGAAACAGTTTGCAGAAAATCTCCGGATCAGAAAAGTACAAGTGCACTTTGTAAATAGTAAATGACTGACGACCTGTCCAGGGTGGACCCTACCTCTCGCCCAGTGTCAGCTGGGATTGCATCATTTTTTCAGGCCTTTATACCTTTATTTGTCAGTGGATCATAGAGAGGGAGACCTGTGACATATGCCAGCAACTGGACTCCAGCGTCATGCTAGCGCTGTGCAAGTATACGTAGTGTGTCACCATAACCGCTTGGCTATCGTGCACCTCAGTCATTTCAAAACGTCAACTGTGAACTGGAAGGAGGTTTTTAGCTCTGAGGGGACTAAAACAAAGTGAGAGCATGCATCTTTAAGAACGACCAAGCACGAGTCCCAGAGGTTTCAACAGGGGCCAGTAAAAGGCATACAGTAGTAAATGACCTTTGAAGCAGGATACTTTCAGACAAATCAGCATTTTTGAAGCCAAAACACCAACAGTTATTTCAGCAAAGTACTGAAGCTAATTCAGCAGCTCAAGACATAACATCTGACTTAATGTCATGATGATCCTTTGTTTCAAGGCGAAGACTCCACAGTCACTTCTTGTTTTTGCAGCTGCCACCTGACCTCCATCACACACTGACTCTAAGTGGCACAGTGCCTAAAAATTTAGAATGAAAAATAAATATTGCCATGCACATTAACCTTCGTAGGCCAAGGAACAACCGATTACACTTTCTATGACCGTTATCATTAAATTATTACAGACAGATAATGCATAGATTTGGTGCCAAAAGAGCTCCATACAACTATACTGGAACCAGAGCTGAGCTCACAAAATGGTATCAGGCCGATTATTCCATCAGTTTGTTCCTGTGTAGAATGATTTATGGGAGCTGAGAGCAGACACACACACACTTGAGGCATCCATCAGTCCAGTCTGCAGACTAAGATCACTTACCAAAGGCTGCAGCACTAATCTAATAAAGGTTCCATTATAACTGCAACTTTCTCTCTGTCTCCCTTCCTCCCTCCCACTCTTTATCTCTCTGCAGTTCTACCTGTGCAGGGTTGTCTGTAGATCTGCAGAGTCGCAGGAGTCGGTCTTCGGCGACGAATCTGAGGAAAACACACACATCCACACATGTATACATTGTTGACCCTTGAAATATTTTTGGGAAAAGACCAGAACATTTCCCTCATCTCTTTGATCCAACACTTGATCCCTTTTACTGTCCCAGTAGTTTGGCTTTAAAGGCACAAATCACAAATCTCAGCTCTCCATCCAAATAAAAGTTATAAAAAAAAAACCAACAGGCACTAATCATCCAATATTCTATCAATATAAAAACACACATTCCTCTGTATTTGTTATCAAAACAGCTCATAAAGACATCCTAATCACTAAACACTGAGCTGGTTTAACTCCCTGGTACAATGTCAAAGCGGGTTTAAACCACCATGTTTCTTCTTTTTACTGTTGCTGCCGTTCAGGTGCATTTAAAGGACAAATACACCACAGATTACACATTAGACACGCCTCTGTTACCACTGGCCTTTCTAGTCAAATCCCATGTTTCCCACAATGTCAGTCAATACCTCTTCAGTAGACAGAGAGCAAGAACATTTTGCAATCAGCTGAGAATCACCTGTGAGCAGTTGCAAGCTGCAATAACTGTGACTTACATTGTCACGCTAGCATAGTTACATTTGCGTCATCAGCTACTTGCAAGGTAAACAAAGAAAAGGGCATGAAGTGAAACGTTTGTGATTACTGGAAATGAAGAAACATTTACTGGCAGCAAGCTCTTGAGTAAATTTGCTTATGACTAATTTGAAATGCTAATATTTGATTATAACCTCAGTAAATATTTAAAAAGTGGAGAGGAAATCTTTATTGCTGAGGTGCGTTTTAGTGTTAAATGGTTTTATAGTGTGTTTTAGAAGGTGTGTTTCCTTTAATCCTCCACATTATCTACTCATAAACACATGGTTGTTACTCCATAAATCTCCTTGACAGCTGACATAAAGACAAACCATCCTGCTAAACACACAAAACCCTTTGAAGTGTCACATGCACAGTCAGCTCAAGTACAACGACCCATTAAATACACCGCCAGCAGTTTTCATAAGCACTGACATATGTACACATGCTGCTTAACACCCTCACACAGAAAATTCCCAACAAGAGTCACAAGACACTGATAGAAGCCCCATTCAATCCCTCTCACATGCATGAACTCACACTGTCCCCCACTCTATGACACACAAAGTGCACTCACATGTTCGGCGGCCTGTGGGTCCAGCTGTCCCTGCAGTGGAGGGACAGCAAACTGGATCTTCTTTGGACTGCTGGGCTCCATTATTACTCACTGAACGATAGAGAGAGTGCATACAGTATGCATGTGTGTGTGCTTGTGCGTCAAGAGGGGAGGGAGTGGAGAGGGAGGGGCGGTTTTCTCTCAGCTAGCAGGGTCCATTATCACTAATTGACAGACTTAGAGAGAGAGAGAAAGAGAGAGAGAGAGAGAGAATAGCGGCCCAGTCATTGCAGTGTTTTACAAAACGTGCACTCTGATGTAGCATCAAGTAGTATCATCATACCAGCTTCTCCACCCTGTGTTGTCAAAGTACGGTCTGTAAATCAGCCCCGCCTGCCGCCTAGCCAAGGTTAGAAGAAAGGTTTTTCCAGCCAGTAGTCATGTCCAACAGCCATGGAGGAGCTCTGGGCAGCTAAAAGTTTGACCCAGCAGCTGCCAGAGTGAAGAGGTGGCGTCTTCTGCACAGAGAGAGTGGGACAAAGAAAGAGCAATGTTGTCATTTTTTCAGCGTGTATTATTAAAGAATCTTGAATTATATGAATTAAGTTGTTTTCTATCTGACTTTTAATACTGAATACCAAATTTGTCCTTTTGCATTTTTCTGCCCCCATCTCAGAAACCTGCATCCTTTGCCAACAATGACATTAGTGTGTGTGTGTGTGTTTGCATGTGTGTTGGCAGTTGTAGTGGAAACACGTTGTCTCACTGGGGACATCTGGAGAGACTTACTGGCTACTGTAGGTGGAACAAGCCACACACAGATCATACAAAGACTCTCTTGTTGTTCTTGTTTTTTCACATCGTTGGAATCAGTCCGTTGTAATGGTGATTCACAAAAGTCGGCTCTGTTGTCTGTTGCTAATGCACAACCTGTATTTTCCACTCATGTCACTCTGGCCCCAGATGTTAAAACTGCATTATGCAGTATATATATTTATTAATGATTCTCAACTGAGTCCATGTCATGTGACACACTCGACACTGCTGATCTCACTGAGAAAGAAAAGATGCTAATGTACTTGATAGCTTGATGTAATATAGCAATCTAAAGCTAAAGAAAATGAAGTTTTCAGTTAGCCATGCTAGTGGCATCGCTCAACAGCAGTTGGACTCTCTGTCACTTCACCACTTTACACTTTAATGTCTTAACTTCTGTTGTATACAGTTTTGGTCCACACAGGATGAAACTATCGACTCTGGTGTGATTCCCTGACTTTTTTTTCTAGCACTATCATGATTGACATGTATGATTGTGGCAAGTATTGGGCCAACTGTCATGACAAATATCTGCAACACAGACATTGTCATGGGTCAGCAGATCCAGAATATTATTTAGATCCAGTTCATACTTTGGTGTGTGGTAGAGCTTAAGGGGATGTTAGCTTGCATCTTTTTGTCTAAGCATTGTGAACAAACAGTGGTAAAAAGATAATCTCATCTATTTATTCACCATCTTAAAACAGGGTTTACAAAGTGTTTAAAAACAGTAAAACAATGAGGACATGTCAAACAGTAAGAACAGCTCACACCATTGGGCAAAATACAACTGAATTGAAAGGAAAATAACACATTTAGATTTTGAAAAGATATGCAGACGATCACAGTAAGGGTGTTCTGTAAAAATATGTTTTAAAAGATGAGACAGACTCAACTGCCCTGACTACTTCAGGGAGGCTGCTCCATAGTCCAGGAGCTCTGACTGCAGTTCAGCTTAGCTTCATCTATTTAAATGAGAAACACAGTGTAGGATTACACAGTAAAATCATATGACCTATTTCCATTGTGGCCTGACAACAAGTCTGTAACATCCAACAAACAACACAACATCATCCTAAGAATCAATCATTAAAAAGCATCAAATACCATATAAGAATATAATATAATAAAATTCTTCACACTGAATTAACATTCCATGACTTTCTTTTTGAACACACTCAGGGGACCTGTTGTTTTACTGCACATATGGAGCTCACTGAAATGTAGTTGAGTGACTATGGTTGTTCAAAAAGTGAGTCTGGAATCTTTTGTTTGTCCATTAAAAAGCTTCCTCAGACTCTGAAGCTCATTTGGATGGGCAGGGAGCGTCAAAGCTGTCTGCTCTCGATCAGCCTCGCGACACTATTGGATGTTTTACATGTTTATTGGCTGTATACAGCACTACAAGGCTGTTTGTTACTATCTGTGTAACCGTCTCCTACTGAAATAGCGGCAATATGTGTAAGGACTGTGTATACGGTAACAGTGCCAGCACAGATGTGGAGAGAGTGCATGTGGGTGCGTCCGGAGCGCACCCTGTATGGGTGTCAGGCATGGCGACACAGAAGGTGGGTGTGGGGGTGTTGTAAACATCTGACCCTGAGCTGAGAGGGGAGGAAAGTGTTGAGGAGGTTGTAGTTGGTACTGAAGTAACATCTGCTGCTGTTGTTGATACTGATGATGCTGTGATGTTGTCTGTGATTGTTGTTGCCATGGTAACCCTGTCTGCTGCCACTGAGATGGTTGCGGAGACAGCCAACTGTTGATTCCCACCACTTTATTCCTTTCCTCTGCGTTCTCATCCATGCCCTCAGACAGGCGTGGGCGGATGGTAAAGATGACGTCATCATCGTGTTTCTCAGACAACACCTGCAGGTGGAGGGTGGAGACGATCCTAGGGGGGCTCAGGCGGGAAAGAGGGATTTCCCATCCCGTCTCGCCCTTCACCCTCATCTGTGCCACATTCAGGCTTCGCAGCATCACCACATACAGGTGAGTGCCTCTCTGTTTCAGAAATCTCAGGTGTTGCTGCTACAGCATGCTCAGAGGAGCTGCTGCTGGAATCTGACTCTGCTTCTGACTCACGGTCCACCTCAGGACCAGAGTCTTCGTCTGAAGTGCTGGAATTGCCATCATGCCAGCGCATGTTGTGTGCCTTATGGTTGTAGCAGGCAGCACAGCGAGTCAGGTCATGGAACTCGGGGCCTGATTTGGACTAAACACAGGGAGATAAGGACAGACAGTCAGGCTGCCAGTTAGTTATTCAGACATGTAAACAGTCATCCAGTAAAGTATTTACGTTATGTAGGGCTGATTATCACATACTTTGTAGTGTTTTATTCAGCGTGTTATTGATAATTCGTCATATTTCAAATATTGCAGGTATTTATTCTGATTTGATTTAACTCAGTTGCTGCTCTGTGCCCACAAGGAGACAGAGACTTGGTTTCAACAGAACACAAAAGCTCTGGATTTACAGGGTTAAGCCAGTGGTCAGTGTAGAGTTCTGCACAAATGTGCTTGGGAATGCACAGATAACAAGTTAGTCTGATCACTACATGATGCTACGTCCCTTGTTTCCACACAGTCAATTTGTTTAGTTGGTTTTGGACTATTTAAAGCAAACATTGTGTTATTTTATGGTATTTTCTGTGCAATTAGTTTGCTGTCGTCAGTAGCTCATCTAAACTGTTTACTGAGGTGAAGGCGTTTCCCTGTGACATTATGGTCCCGCTTCAGGCACAAGTCATAATGGCCACTGCTTTTTTAGCAAGATCATGAACAGATTATCTTCATGCGTGACCCTGCAGGTAACAAAAAAGAGAGCAAAGTGTTTGAAGGGCACACCATGACGGCTTTTCAATATTTTAGTATACCACAGCTGTGATGGTCTGGATTTTTTCACTTCTCTGTTCATGTTCTTACAAATATTTCACTCTCCCATAGCTTCATTGATCCCACATGAAGTTACATGTCTGGCCACTGGCTATGTGAAGAGCTTCAGGCAACGCTTACTGCTGTTTGAGCAAACCAGCAAACCTCTCCCTCCCTCTCAGAGTAAGAATCCCCACTGTGACCAAAAAAACAGTGCTGCTTTCAGCAGTGTACTGTATTTAGTACCAAATCTCTCATTCTCTCTCTTTGTGCTTGCTCAGAGTTTACTATCTGAGCTGTGCTGGAAGAACAGTAACGCAAACAAGAAATGTTTTTACTACAAGGTCTGTGACATTGGAAACTACCCAGGCTGTTAAATAAAGTCAGAAGAGTTACCTTATGCTGTTTTTGACTATCTGCATTCTGGTCTGTATTGGAGCCTCTACAGT